AATGCACCCCTTTCTTTTTGTTGCCAATTTCCGGATGCAATGCTGCGAATTTCCGTCTGGAAAGTTCACGACGATGGCGACGAAATTGCTTAAATGTAAATAAATCAGTGGTAAGAAAATGTTTCTGTGGTCAGTGCCCATCCACGTCCTCGTCCGGATCTGGATCCTTGTCTGCTGTCGCTGTCGCTGTGCTGTGCTGCAATGTAAGTGTTGGCTTATAAATCAGGCCACTGCAGTGACAGACAACACTGTGCAACTCGGCATTAATGGCGGCTTAAGTGTGTCGCAAGCTTCGGCTGCAGCGCAAAAAGAACTCGCTTAATTGCAGGGCATTTTCGTTTAATTTCGCACAACTCGCAGTAAAGTTTTATTAGCTCGTCGAGGCATAAATCAAGCGAGTTGCAGACCAAAAGTCGTTTGTCATTTCCAACAATCAATTAAAAGCAAATGTCGCATAAATACATGAATTCTTTTGTGACGAAACGATTCATCATTCATCATCGCGAAGCCGCGAAAGAGCAGTAAAAAAACTCTTTGTGCCCAAACTTTTAATTTAGGTAATAAAAATCAGAGGGTTTGGCAAAACAAAAAAACTGCTTGCTATATACATGGACTTTTGGGATGGCAGAGACGGAAATGTGATAGATTTGAACAAGAATTTCTACGTTCTGCTAATAAAATCACAATGAAAAGAGAGTTTATGACTTGATTCTGACAATAGTTCCTTAGAACTGAATTCAACAATATTTGATTCCCTTTGCTTGTTTTTCATTTATGAAAAAAAAAATAACGAGCATCCTGTCAATGTCGTCTGCATTGTTATTTGCTTTTATTTATATTACGTTTACGTTGACTTTATTTCTCTCTTTGTACTGCGCAGGTGGGGAAATCGCATTGAAATTGATTTTTAATATTTATTTATGAGTTAGAAAAGAATTGAACGCCATTTTTCAGTCAACGGCAGTACGAATTTCAGTCCGCTTTATTGCCGCCGCCTGATTGATGACCTCTCGTGGATGGGATGAGCTAGAAATGACTTTGCTCCGAAATGAGCATAAACAGGCGTTTAATTTATAATTTATGTGGTGTATATTGATTAATTGATTTCAATCCGGTGGGTTAATGGCTGCAGGCAGCCTTCTCTCTGCGGTCTTGCGGCCTGACATGCGGTCCACTCCAATTTCGAGCCTACTCCTACCCAAATATTTGATCTGCACATACGGGTGCGTGTTTGTGTATGGGTGCTTTTGCTCAGCTTACCGTATGGCACATATCTTGAAATCTAAACAGGAACCTGGATGCCCAAAATTTACAAGTCATCGACGGCGGCGACGATGCGGCCAAAATTTGCATAATTTGCAAAGGGCCTTTCGTGTAGGCCCTTCATAAATGCTGGCGACTATGATCTAACTCAGTTCGCTGGGTTCCTCGACTTGCACGCTGTTTGCGTTGCTTAAGCGAAAACGGTGTTAAGTGCTTTCGCATACAAAATTTACATGGCCTGACAATTTTTGAGCGCTGTATCGGCCATGTTGCTGCTTCAGTTAGTTGATGTTGCTGTTGCTGCTGTTGCTGCTGCTGTTGTTGTCGCTGTACTCAATGCAGATTGTCGCCTGTTTTTGTTATTGTTCCTCTGCGGTTGTGTCGCTCAGCTTGACTTCCGCTTGTGCCGCTTTGTTTGCTCACGCGGCCCGTCAATATTTGCCATTTGCTAGAAGGCTGGCCCCAGCACACAGGACACGCCGCCCAGGTGCCACGCCCCTGTGTTTGTAAACACCCGTTTGCTGCAACATTTGACTTGTCGATGGGCCTGCTAATGTTTGCTCCAGTTACTGCCCAAAAAGGTGAAACCGAGTGGTGTCCGGGTCGATGATCCTCCAGGGGGAACATTCTACATGTTGCCCATTCTAAACATGCCTGCCCCAATCAATCGAGTAGCTCTACCTGGTTTTTATACATTTTATTAAATTTAATTTATTAACTTTAGCCTAGTACTCAGTTAAATATTTTACATGCAGTTGCTTAGCCTTTTATTTGTATTAATTTAATGCATTCCTCCTTATTACTAGGTCTGACTTTCCCAGGGATTCTCGTGCTTGTTGGGCAAACCGAATCTTTGGATTTTCATCTTTCGCAGTTCGTTACGTATAAAATGCAAACTGGATTTGCTAATTTGAGTCGTTTATTAATCGTTCGTTAGTTAGTTACCTTAGCGTTAGTGTTTCATTAAATTCTTTATGATCTTGTTTAATTACAATTTGAACTATGCTAAGTGGGAGCTTACAGCTAGATGAATTTGATTTAGATGTTGTAAATGCCTTAGTTACGCCTAAGTTACAAGCTAAATGGTAAATGGTAATGGGAGCTAGGTTTCTCAAACTAAGGTCAACAACAATTATGAATTCGTCACTTAGCTAAAAGTTAATGTATCTCTTTTGGCGCTTAAAGCTGTTTTTTTAAAAATATATTAACAATTCAGTGTTTTCGATTTAATGTTAGTGGTAATTATAGCTATAAGTGTTAATTGTATTCCGTAATTTACATGTCTTCTTAGGCCTAGTGGATTCCAATGCTTGAGCTTCACTTTCGCTTCGAACAATTTACATGCACAGTTTATTGTTATCTTTTTACAGGGTTTGCCCTCCATTCAGTATCGTCGTGTTATGTTCTTCGCTTTGCTTAAAGAGCGTGAACTCTGCTTCACTGCTTTAAAATCAACTCCACTACTTTCTGCTGGCTCATCACATACAACTTATAGTCAATTTGTTTACCAATTATTCCCCGATTTTTCTGTAGTTTTCCATAGTTCCTTCTTTTGATTTGCATTTCCTGTTTGCCTTCGACTTCAGATTAGTTGCTCATGCCGGCCGAGAGCTTAGCGTCAGAAGCGAGTACCGGATCCGAGATTGCGATCCTGGGCGATCAAAACATCCTCGCCATTCAGCTGATGGTGCAGCTCTTCTGGCACGGTCTTCAGCAGCTGTGGCTTGCCCTGAAAAGGAATTGGAGACAAAAATAGGGAAGAGACGAGATGAAAATAAGAGAAAACCTTGCTCAGCAATGGGAATTACCGCAGACAGCTTAGGGGCAAAGGGCACTAAATAGCGCTGCTTTAAAATTAATGAGCCGCACATTATTTGAGTACTCGCTGCTATTACAAATTCAACTTTCCCGCCACCCTGGCCAGAAAATGGTACCAGCAAAAACGCTGCGTATGCGTAATATTTGGTTTTGGCAGAGTGGCAGCCGAGGCAAGACAAAAACGAAAGTAAGAGACCAACAAGTCTCGCAGCCATTTGCTATGTTTTGGCCAACTCCCTTGGGCCAAACACGGCCAACAATGTCAGTTTGGGCCGCCTTTGGGAGACGGGCGGGAAAAACAAGGACCACATCAGTGACAAACAAAAGGAGCAGCTCAAGAAAAGGCAACACAAAAAGTGGCAGCGAAGGCAGCGGAGGAATAAAACATTGTGAACTCAGTCCCTGCTGTTGATGATGATGTTGTTCTTCTCCTTTATTGTTTTTTTTTTTTTTTTTTGGTTTTTTTGTGCTCCTGGCTTTCTTCTTCTTATTTGGGTCATAATAATTGCAATCATTAGAGTCAAAAGTTGCCACACCGCAGTGTCCTTTTGGCATGAAATTGTTGTAAAAACGTAATTCTTTTTGTGGAACGAACATCAGCCGGGGACAATGCAATGGCCGCAGCCTGTCGGCCTGATGTCCTTTTGGACCTCGACTAGGCGAAGGGCCACCAGGACGAACGCAATGCGCTGCGTTGGGAGTATACATAATGGCGTATTTATAAGGCAGCCGACAGAGACAATGACTGGTACAAACGGAGTAAGCGAGACAGCTAGCAGCGAGCGTTTTTTTTTTATTATCCTGCGGCACATTCAGAGGTCATTTACCGCTCGAAACCCATTGAGAATGCCGGCAATATCGACCCTCTCCAACTGAGTTTAAAGTTGTCCGTCTGCAGTGGGATCAAAGGTTATGGATTACCAGAAAATTGCACTGTCACGAGAATGGGTTCGACTTTGAGTCATCTGTTGATCGATGACGCACTGGATGGCCTAATCGATTGAAAGCAGGGTAATGTTGGGGAAACTGTGAAAGGGAACGCAACAAAAGGGGAGCTTTCCAAGCCCAAAAATAAGTTGTTTAGGACTATTCTCTTGCGGCGTTAAATATCTGAGCTCGAGCTGCTTCCGCTCTTAATTTTCAACATTTGAATACCCTTTCGGCGACTGCAATCACTTGAGCAGTTATCAGCCCAACCGCAAAAATCCATTTTCCGCCCCAGCGGCTACCATTTATAAGGGAAAAACGAAAACAAAATTGGGCACAAAAGATGCCCCCGTAATGGGGGTGGTCGGGGGGGCCCAAGATAAATGTTTCCTGCTGCCGCCTCGCCTTCCCTGCAGCACTGCCAAAAATCCTTGCCCCAAAATCCACTTTGCATATTGATGCTTTCAACGTTTTGGACATTAGGCGAGTTGCCTTGACGACCGGTTCGCTCGCTATCAACAGGGAGCAGCAGGAGCGTCCAGGAATTGGGGAGTACATCAAACTGACACTTACCACATCGCTGCCATAAAGGCTCATGCCCATGCCGACAATGCTTCCGTTTCCGCCATTGGTCGCTGTCAGCTGCTGCTGTTGCTGCTGCTGCTGCTGCTGCTGATGCTGCTGATGCTGCTGTGGGGGCAGTGCACCCTGACACGGACCCGGACCCGACGAAGCTGCCGAAGATGTTGCCACCAGGCCCATGCACGTCACCGGCTGCAGGAGGCCATCGCCGGTGGTCACCATGCTGTGGGTGAAGATGGGCGGCGGCGGCGTCGGCGAGAAGGTGGCCAATTGTGATGGATGCGACATGGTGACTCCGGTGATGGTGCTGTTCGTGCCAAACATCGGGCTCGTCGAGTACATGGGCATGGGATGATGTGCCAAATCGATCTGCGGCGGTTAGAGGTAGAGATAGAGGAGTAGGTAATGAGGTTTTAGTCATGTGATGATTTATATGCTCCGAGTTAGTCACGACTTTTGTGGATGGCGAGTTGGAGGGTTGAAACAAAAGTAATTGATCGATGGCAAACGTTGACCATAATGTTGCATTTAAATTATTTACGCCGCGGAACAATGTACATAAATAATCATTTGCCTCCTATTGGGCGCCAATGAAATTGTTTAATTTGAATATTAAACTACATCTTTAAGATATTACAAACAAAAAAACAGAATCCACAGTAACTAAATAAAAAGCTTATTATTTCATTAATTTATATTGGATACTATTGACAAATAGTTATTTCCCTTCGTTGGGCGCCAATTATTTATGGTGCAGAAGGATTAAAAATTACAACCATCGTACTTAGTACTTCTTATACTTTTTATCTTGGCAACCTAATAATTTTGATTGTTCGAAGTGTAATTAAATTTTGTAGTATATTGGAGAAGTGTGCCGTGGCTTGTCGGTTAATATGTAGGTGTGGTTGCCCACGCATATTGCAGCCATCGCGGACTCTGTGGTTTCACCGCTGCCACTCGCCCCGAGTGGTGTTATTGCTGATAGGATAGTTAACAACGCGCCCGGCGTTTATTTAGCCAACATGGTTGCCATGGCATACAAGCGGCTGCTATGTGGTGAACTACTACAATAATTGGCCCGTGGGTGGCCCGTGTATCTATAAGGTGGCTTCGTGTGTGTGTATTTGTGCATGTGCGCGTGCAGGATGTTTATATGCTTATTTCCGTAATTAACGTGTGTGCCAGGGCGAGGCATATCGACGTTGTTTTCTTAATGGGCTCAACGAGATTTTAATGAAATTAATTTTTAGCACCATGTAAATTAAAATTGATGGGTTGGCTCACAATAAGAAACACGTATGCTATTATAAAAGACACATTGAGCTTAAGTTGCTATCATATCACATTTTGATGAAATTATTTGGTTATTGTCAAAATAACACAAAAACTTTGCCAATCAACAGAAAATGTCATGCAAAATCAAATTAATATAGTGACCAAAACAATAAAAGCGAAACTAAATGCTGAATTTAATAGCCAGCATTTTTACTTTTAGAAAAAAAAACATTACGAGAGCCAACTGCATGTCGTGTAAAAGTTTTCGATAAATGACAGCACAGCCAAACAATGTCATTTGGTGAAATGGTTGCCAGGACTTTGCTCGTGTGGCGGCATTAATTGTTGTTTTTGTCCTGTATTCCCATCTACCGAGTTCCCCATAGAACGAGTGGTGTTTAAGTGCATTTGCTGTCTGTCCAGCCTTGAATCTACCTATATCGATTCGCCTACACTTGGTCATAACTCAAGTCCTTTCAATTATTAACAGGAATGAAAGGCAGTTGGATAAACAAAGCGAACGACTCTCGACTTGAACAAAGTCCCGATGGGAGTGTTCCACAAAATCGGAACATAACTTGTCTGCCATGGCCAGACAAATTCGAAAAATGCTTTGCTGATATGGGTAGTAGAAGGAACGCTTTTCTCTGCACCCACATCTATCATGTTCATACCTTTCCCAGTCAGATTCTTTGCAAATCTGCGCTCAGCTTCTCTAGGTACTCATTTTCATTGTCAAATCCCATCAGATTCTTCTTGGGCTTTCAGCGAGGGTATGCCTTGGTCATTATTTCATATCTGTCTGCGTCTCTGGAAACCCGATTTGCGTAAACTGTTTTCAGCTTTCTGTTTGCTTGCAGCACGATTTGTTTGTGCAACGGTGCGTATGTGTAATACTCAGAACTGGTTTCCGATGGAAGATAAATATTTTCAATGCAAGCACAGCATATTTTTTTTATGGGCTACGAGCTACGGACATCGGGCTATTGATTTGGTCGGTTCTTTGTCGAGGCAGGGTGATAATCAATTTTTGCAGCTTTATTGTTATAATGATTTGTTTCTGTCTTCCCTGCTTCTGCGGATGTTATTAGTTTGAATCACAAAGATAATGAGTGAAATAAATTAAGTTTATTTATAACAACCAATAAATAACTAAGGAAATAACAAAATCATAACAATCTTTCCAATTTGAAGCTAAACACGTGTGGCATAGCCTTGAACATAGAGATTGGCTGCGCCACCCACATTGTCGACCACGGCCCCAGCCACATAGCTTCTTCCGGAAGTGGAGGCCGCCTGCAAATCGGCCAGAATCTCGTCGTCCATCATCACATTTACCTGCGAGTAGATGTTCGGCTCCGCCCGCTTAAGTTCCGCCTGCCTGCCCGGCCGTCCCAAGGTCGCGCTGCAATAGGGGGCCATCCGCTGAACGCTCACCGTACCGCCCACCATAGCGGGAGCGGTCAGTTCGCTATAGCTGAGCTCAGTCTGAGGAGGAAATAAATTTAAAAAAAATGCATTTAAAATATAGTAAGGAAAAGTAAGAAATTTGTACTTCTTAAAAACAAAACTTGAGTTTTTCGGGCCTAGCTCGCGATATGATATTTATGCTATTAATTTATTTCAATTAAAATTTAGTTTAAACTACAATTTAGATTTTAAGGTAAAAAAAAATTTTAAATAAAATTCTGGAAATTCATAGATTATTTATTATATGTTATGGTATTAACATGGTTTTTCCGGATGAAAAATATGCAGTGTTTCACTGTGCTATTGTGTTTTCAGAACAAATAAAGGTATACGATTCTGGGAAAAAGATTTCGTCTGGCTAAGCCTTTTCATCTGCAAGCGATAGGGTGAATGTTAAGCGACAAGGGCAGAAGGTGCCATTATTAAGGTTTTTGATTGCCTGAGCAGGTTAAAGCTGTTATTTACAACCATTCGCGAGACGTTCCTGCCTGCTTTATGTCTGCTGTTGGTCTGTTTGTTTAGGCCAGACACCGCCCACATGCGGCGCCTGTTTGTAATGTGTCTGCTGTTGTTGGCCCTGCCCTTAACAGCCATTTCCCACTCCGCTCTTCCTTCGGCGAGGCACACACTTGGTCGTTTATTGCATTTCGAGCTGGCTGGGAGCTGCAGAACAAGCAGGAGCAAGAGCAGCGGGGATAGGAACTGGATGCGCACATCCTTAGCGGTCTCGACTCGACTCGACTTGCCTCGCGATGGGTTCGCCTGCAACTTATTTTTATTAAATTCGCAAATGGAAAATTTATATTGCTGCAGCTGCTGCGGCTGCCCTCGGTTCTCAGTTCTCAATTCTCAGTTCTCGGTTCTCGTTTCTCGGCTCTCGATTGCCGCTTACTGGCCCTAACTTCTCCTCCGGAATGGGCGTGGCTGGCACAGAGAAATTTCTACTTAAATGATTTTCAAATTATGTTGGTTTCTTCGCTTCTCTTACAACTGCAGATGATGCTGTTCTATTCCCATCTGAGCTATTGTTGTGTTCGTATGTTCCACTCGCGACCTTCAGGAGTTTTTCAAAGAAACGTTCCCCTTGGTAAGTTGGAAATATTTTTGTAATTTCTCAATGACAGAGTTTGATAGTTTCAGATTCAACGACTTAAAGTTGCAAATTACCTAGCATATCTCTTATATTTGTATTGTTTTTCTTACTAAATGTTGGCACTACACAATGGTTTGCTATGGAATTCATACTGTACCCTCATTATTATATAAATGGTATGAATTCCTTACTAATAGAGTGTATAAATAAGTTTACTGTAAGAGGCTTCCCTCCGACTGATTTACATCAACTACTTTATCATCATCCCGTGAGGCTAAGGCAACAAACCACTGGCTATAAAAACCACTTAGTCCAGAATATGTGGATGGCTGCCAGTGAGTGAAACAATGGGGGTTGACCACCTGTCCGGGGGTCGTAAATTAAGACCCTGGCGGCAGAATCTCCGGCATATTGTTAAAGGTTTAGTGCCCGCCACTGTGCGAGGAAGTGGATTAGGGTGTCCATAACTCACCTTCTGTTGCGGCTGCTGCTGCTGCTGTTGCTGTTGATTGGCATAAGCGCCCATTTTGCTGACGGGAATGAGCGTGTTATACTGAATGTAGGGACCGTGGCCGGGAGGCGGGCCTGTCTTCTTGTCCACCACCGCATACGTGGGCATCAGGTGATCATAGGTGCCGGAGGTAATCACGGCATTCTGCTCGGCCATTGCCGCCGTGGCGTAAGCGCGTCCATGACCCTTTGTCGTCCACTCGTCGTCCACCAGGTCGTGTCCGTCTGGGAATGGTATTGGGGTGTGAAACGAAAGGGAAGGGGGGGAGCGGTGCATTAGGGATTAGCTCGGAGGGGCCACCTGTGGAAACTCACCCAACCCACCTTGCGGTATGATGTCCGGATTCTTGTCGATGCTGTCCAGGCTGCTCGTCACATGGCACGTCTCCCGTCCGATGCGGTGCATATCCTGCACTGATTGCCCGCCATTGTGGCCCAGGGTGCCGATGAGCAGGCTGCCATTGTTGTTGCTGGCCAGCAGGCCCAGGCTGCCGTTCCCGTTGGCCGTGGTGCCGCCCACTCCGCCCATGCCGCCGCCAACGCCGCCACCCAGCCCGCTGCCGTTGCCGGTGGTGCCGCCCACGCCGCCGACGCCGCTGCCCGGATGCGAGTAATTATTCCGATCGCGCCCCGAAGAGCCGCGCACACGCACCACAATCACAATGATGAGGGCCACCAGGAACACGCTGCCCACGACGCCGGCCAGAATGCCGAGGAATGGCCGGATGTCCTCGATGACGGGCGCATAGGCCAACGAGAGGTCTGCGAGAGAACGGGATGGAGTGGAATGTAAAAAAAGGGGAAGCCGGAAAGAGACCGAAGATTGGAGGATAAGCATGTGCCTTTTGCATTTACGTATTCCTCTCTCTACACAGAGAAAAACTTTACTAACAAGTTGTCCAAATTTGGGTATTGCTTATGACAGCATGGTTCTCATTAGTAAATCATATATAAAATATTCCGAATATTTAATGAATTTTAGTACACGATTTTAATATATATTGTATTTTTACGGGCGGGGCCATTAGAATATTATATAATTAGGGTCATTTTCTGGTCCTCACGGTAAGTTAAAATGAGTTTTTAAGCTGTTGTATTTGTATAGAATTCTTCTTTTGGGCTAAAGTGGAAAAGTCTTGCAATAAATATTATTGCAAATCTTTTACAATAATGCATTGTAGCTTGATCCTTTGTTGTTAAAAATTATATAAATGAACAAATTTTAGAATATGGAACTGAAATTGCCAGGCATTTTTCGCTGTGTACACGCCCACTCCCTTTCCTTCTTTCTGTGAGACTGCATTGTTTTATGAGCTGCTAACTACGTCCCGTTCTTGGTCCAGTCCTCGTCCTTTGGTTGTTAATGTTGTTGTTCGTGATATTGTTGTTGTCGGTGGCAGTTCCAGGCGCACGTGCCTTGAATTTAGTGCCCCTTTAATGAGCTGCATGTGTGTTAGTGCATATGTACGTGTATTTGTGCATATCTGCGAGTTGTAATCCGCCCCGTTGCCCCGCTGGGGTTGCTAATTTCGGTCTCAGTCGCTGTCGGCATGTCGGGAATGTTTAGTAACCCAACATAAAAAAAGGGAACAGGAAAATAAAACCATTTGGCATCCGGATTTATTTGTGCTGCTTTATGCGGACTTGGTTGGGGTGAAATTGTTAAAGTGAACTGATGGTGCTACAAACCGAAATAATTGAAAATTAGTCACATCAAATTAAAACTAAAATATTGTGTTAGGAACCAAACAAAGGCTAAATAAATATTTAAAAGTAAACATGTAAATAACAACTAAAGCTACATAAAATATAAATGAACAGAAAATAATTAGAAATTATAAATTTCGCCTTAAATTAAAATATTAAATTATAACATTGGAAAACAAGGCAGTGTTACAAATAACAGTGTTACAACCGAGGTAAATTAATAGAAAATTATAGAAAAGGAGAGTCCACCGCTACCTTCTTGCTGGTCAACGTCTTGGCCCTCGTCGTGGCCAACTGCCTTGCCCAAGTTGAGAAACTCATCCTCTTCGCAAACGCAGTCGCTGGTCGTGGTGGCTGTCACTTTTGCTTTTGCCTTGGGATAGACAGCCGGCCTAAGTCCTTGGAAGGACTTAGTGAATGTTATTGTAACTAAAAGAAAGCATGCGGTTCAAATAAGGCGCAAAGAAAAAAAGAGCACAGAGGGGAAACCAATCATGTTAGCAGAACTTAAAGCAAATTAAAAGACAAATGAAGAAGCTGTAAATGCAAGCCTATGCCAATTAATTTATAGGCAGAGCAGCAGGACTCTGGCCAGGACATGCATGAAATTGCAAACGCACAGAGAGAAGAAGATGGAGATTGAGAAGGAGAAGCAGGACTGCCCGCATCACTCGGATTCGTTTCTGGTGCCTCCCCTGTGATTAAACTCACCCGTCTGCTTCTCCGGATCCTTCAGCGTGTAGACCTGCAAAATGGTGGCGTTGCTACGACCCTTGCTGTTGTGGGCGATGAGGAAGACATTGTAGCCCATGCCCGGCACCAGACCGCTCACCTCAAAGTACGGTCGCCTGTAACGAAGTTGAATCGATATTTGAATGTCCAAATCAAGAACGGGAAAACCGCAAAAAAGACCAGAGCAAAGAGCAGGACAAATGGGTTTCGCAGAAGGAGCACAAGGAACAGCAGCCGCTGCAGGCTGCATATTCACATGGACATGGACATGGACATGGCCATGGCCATGGACATGGCAATGCGTTCTGTTCGATGCCACGGCTCGTTGGGCTCGTTGTAATGCAGAAGTCACACGGCGTGTGATTCTGATTGCCTCGTGTCCATTCCGATTTTTCCTGCTCCGGCATCGAGTCCGTTTCCGTGTCCGTACTCACTTTGATTTAGAAATTTTGGGATGGCGCGTCGTTCCATTCATGTAAACCTCCATTATAAAGTCCTGCTGCAGACCACCGTCGAAGCCTTCAATGCATTCGATTTGGAAGCCCGTCGACGTCTGGTTGAGCACCGTGCAGTTCAGCAACGGATCCGGCTCGCCTGTGGGCACGCAACACCAGAAAGACAGAGGCACATTTATTATTCGGGCTTAGAGGCAGATCAAGCAACAAATTGCTCGGACCCCAAAGTATCTACATATTTCGTCGAAAAGCTTCAGAATCAATAAGCCAACTCGCAGCGCAAGTTTGACTAATCTGGCAGCCAGGAAAGCAAATCGCCGAGGTCCCAAAGTCATCGACAAATCAGCGCAGCGGGACTTTAGCCAAACCCGAAAACAAAACATAAACAAAAACCGCTCACAGCCAAGCGCTTTCCCACGGACAGAAATTAAGCTGATGGAGCCTCAGATACCGTGTAGATGGAAATTATTTTGAATGATATTTCTCTGATATATACTTGTACTAGTTTTTTGGAGGTATGCTAGGAGATCTCATCCAATTTTTATAAATTACTATATAACTTTTACCATAAAAAGACAAACCGTGTCTTAATTAAAAGTTTATATTTTAACAATTAAACAATTAATATATATATATATATATATATATATATATAAATTACTTTTCAGGATTAATGAAATCTATTTCTAAGCATTGACATATAAACAATAAGATAATTTATATATATTTGTTTTAATAAATAATTCTTAAGCCAGAATTTTAAGTACACAAATACATATACATATAATACATATTGACAAATTTATAGGGAAGATAAACAATAAGCGAAATATATATTACACTAATTATTTCTTAAGCTCGAATTTTGAATACTTCACTGTTAATTATAGTAAACAAACCTATATGTTACTAACATTGTTATATATACAATATAAATACATATATTGCCTACTGGTAGGTATTATTTAAAGCACAACCCCGCCTGGGCCAGAATAAAAACCACATGCCCTGCAGGCTTGGAATGAAGCCAATGCTGCCGGCAAGCGAAACCGCCAGGCAACGGCTCCATATAGTCCCACATAGCCCCACTGACAGGTGAATCGCCCGCTCCCACTTCCACTAGCCCCACTGCTACTCACCTGCCGGGACTATTGTGTACACGCAGGGTTCACTTTGATCGCCAATTTCGTTGGTGGCCCAGCAGAGTAGCGTTCCGTAGTCCTGGCAATGCAAAGAAGGAGTCGCAAACAGGGCGAATGAGTGGGTGAATAGGGTTGTATAGGGGTGCAGATGGTACAGGTGGTACGGGTGGAGCTGGGATAAGGGACCGGGTTGAGTGACAATGCATTTCGTTGGCTTAATTTATGCATGCACTGCGGCAATGGCGACGCCGTTGGCAACACACCTTTCCGACCTTAATTGAAAATTCAAAACCGCAACTCGTTTGGAAAATTATGTGCTGGCCCCTCAAGGGCGTGCCATGGACTGATTTATATGACCTCCAGGAGGAGCATGCGAATCGGCATCGGCATCGGAATGGGAATGGGAATGGATGCGGGAATGGTAGCGGGATCTAGGGTGGAGTACTTACATTCTCCGTCATGGGCGTGTAGTGGGCAATACTGCGGCCCCTGTCAACGGCCACCTGCGAGGCTGGTATGTCGACTGTTTCGCCCTGAGTTGCATTGAATTTCCAGACGTAGGTGGCCTCCGCGGGATTGGCATCGATTTCACAGGCCACCTTGACGGTCTCATGCCGGCCCGAGCTGTAGGAGATTCGTTGTCGAGGTCGGCATACGGGTGCAACTGCAAGAAGCATTAAATTGAATTGAATTGAATTGAATCGAGTGGCCAGAACATCTGCATAATTAAAGAAAAACACTGCCCGAACTCGAGCTTCAATGTGAACTTTTTAGACAACGAGAAAGTCCAGCACATTTGCCAAATTAAATATTTAAAGAGAATGCTGGCTTTTCACTTGCGGTTGCATTGTTGCTGCTTAATTGATTTATTTGTCTGATTTACGGGAAAAATTCAATTTGTCTCTGGTCTCTGGATAAGTCGCACACAGAGACTGTTGAGTCCTGCTGTAATTGCATTGTGTAACGTGTTAGTTACAAATTGCAATCGAAAGATCCAATTCGTTTTAATTAAGCTGTTATGTAAATTAACACACACTGAGACTGAGACTGAGACTGAGGCTGAGGCTGAGGCTGTGGACAAGGAATTACTCACATCGGATGTCCAGCTGGACGGGATTACTCTCGCCGTCGCCCTCTCGATTGCTGCCCACACAGGTGTAGATGCCGCTCCTCGCCCGGCTGGCATTCTGGAGCACCAGACTCTGGTTGGACACCGCAATGCCTTCGGCGGGATTGTTGGACAGGATCTCACCCTGAAATCGAAAGCAGAAAGTGAAACGCAAATTGAAAATTCCAGAGTACGCCCCCCAAATAATTTATTGCATCGAATTCAATTTACCGATAACTGCTAAATTGAAATAAATTTCATTTCTCAAAGCTAATAACACTTTTATGTTGCGTTACATTGCGCATACGCCCCGCAGGCAGGGAGGCGTATGAACGGCTGATTGAAGGCCCGGTGGCTGCATAAATTAGGCCCGGGCTGCATAAATTGTTAAGTGCTCTCCCACAGCCCGGTAATTCAATAATAAATGGTGCCAGAGTAGAGTATTCCATTCTTTGCCCTTTGGCAGCCCTAAAATATGCAACAATTATGCGCTCCATCTCGATCCAAAGCGCCTGGGGCTAATATATGTGCGCCATATAATGAAAATAATAATAATAATAATAATAATATGCATATTCCTGTTAAGTCCCAAGCCCCAAGTCACAATAAATTAGCCGCCAGTTTGTAAAGGCAGCGGGGTGTTAAATGTGCCATTCGAAGCGGCAACTAATCTTGCGTGTAAACCGGCATCTGTCTGTCACTTACATTGTGCCGCCAGCTAACTTTGTATATCCACGGATTCGATTTGATGTTGCACTCGAAGAAGACGTCGATGCCCTCGCGCAGCGTGGAGTTGAGCGAATTGGTTCCCAGCTCCAGACTCACCACCGGTATGTCTGCGGATGAAAAGGCCGTCAAATTGGATATAGAAGTCGTTAGAGGAGTCGTCAAAAAGGGAAAAACAGACTTAGCTGCCATGGCATCGGGGAAGCTAATTACTTTAAATCGCCTGCCCAGACAAATAATAAAGCTGGCAAGCAAATAACACGCCAGAAGCGTGGGGCAAAGGTGTAATTACTGTGTAAGCCGCACAAATTAGCCAATTTAAGTTGTTCAAATGTTCGGCTCCCCTTCCCTTCCCTTCCACTTACTTTTACTTTATTTTTCCTGTTTGTTTATTATTATGCTTTTTTCTGTTGGCCAGCTTGGCAATTAGGCCTTTGAAATGTTGTTTTGCTACTGCGTTCGCGGCGGGCTAACTGAGCAGCATTTTAACTTGATTAATTCAAAATTGGATCGCGAATGCGAATCAATTAAGCTTATTAAGCAATCTATCAAATTGGGCAAACAGTGAACCCGCCACCAGGCTCCGGACCAGATATTTCAATCGAATCGGGCCGGGTGGAACAAAAAAGGCGGAACAAAAGGAGGAAAAGTTAAAAGGTAAGCAACCACACCGCACTCCCAAGGCAAACAGGAAGAGGTTCTCCTTTTTTTTGCGCCACGGTTGGCGGTGGCTTTGCCATTTAAATTTTGTGCAAACAGGTCGAAAACTGAAGGAGCGTATGGATGACTTTGCAGGCGGCGATGGCGGCGCTGCTTGCGGTGCTTGTGGCGGGTTAAAAAGTTTCGCAAGTTTTGTGCCAAACTTTCACCGGCCGCCGCTGGAAATTAATTTGCCAAAACTTGTGCAGCCCAGAGGTGAGGGGTATCGAAGAAAAATATGGAGCCGCAGTGCAGCGATTTCTTACACAGTTTTTAAAGCCGCTCGCCGACTTTGTGCTTTCGCTTTCATTAAAAACTTTGGGCAGCCGAATTAAATATTAAGCAGGCCATTTAGCCCAACCCAACTTACGATAGATGTCCAGCTTCCAGCCGTCCTCCATCCCGGACTCGGGTATCATGCTCTGCTCGGCCCGGCAGGACAGGAACTTGCCGCGGTCGTCGATGGTGGGCGTGAACGTCAGCACCGAGGTGGTCATGTTCCCATCCGGATTCGCCTAAACAACAACGGGGAACGGGACAAACAGTTAGCGGGCGGGCAGTCAAGACAAGACAAAGGAAACGGAAACGAAAACGGAAACAGAAAAGGGTTGGCACGTCCTTCGGCCCAGATATGGGGGGTGCTTTTAATTGAGGCCCTCGCTACGTGACTGCCGTTCGAGCAACTTCAATTACCACAAAGCATGTGTACGGCCTCGGCGGGGGGTGGAAATTGTACTCTGGGGCAGCCATTAACAAGGATGACAGGCATTTCAAATTTGCATGTTTACAAACATTTTGCACAGGGTAGCAGTCGGGTGGATCCGACGACATTGTCAAACGACAAAAAGCAAGCATTTGATTTTGAGTGTTTTCAATTTTTAAATGTATAACTTATGATTTGTTTTAATTATGCAAATATGTTTTTAAATGCAGGAGTTTTGTAATCACTTTAAATGGTTTCTAAAAGTATGCAATAAATTATTTTTTTTTCATACTTTTTCTCATTTTTATAACTAGTTACAAAACACATGTGATTTCTGTGGCACCCCCAGTACATTTTCTTAAATAAATTAAGAGTTTTTTTCTCACTGTTTTAAAAACAAAAAAAATTGTGCGAACGTGCTTTTACGCTTTAATTATTTTGTTGGTTACTCTTGCGCACATTTAAAACTAGCTTCTAAACACAAGTGATTTCTGTGGCAACCTCAGTACATTTTCTTAAATAAATTGAATTTTTTTTTTTTACTGATAGAGAATGACTTCACAATCCCTTACAACTTAGGTCTTCAAACAAAAGGATGGAAAATGGCGGTTGGACCAATTAAACCCGTAAAGTTCTTAAAGCGCTTGCATGATTCGACACACTGAGAACTCCAATCAGGAAAGCCGAAAGAAGGGAACTTCGATTGTAATTTTATCTTGGCCATTGCCAAACAATCATTTACAGGACCCCCGCTAGTCGGTCTTTGTTCGGCTGCCCTTCGCTTCCACTTACAATCTCATGAGTATTCTTCATGGGGGTACTGCCCTTCCACCAGGTAATCGTCGGCGCTGGACGTGCTCCGATGACAACGCAGCTGAGCTGATAAGAATTCCCCGCCGACAGTGGTCGATTCTCCCCCTGCAGCTTCACAATCAAGGGGCGCACTGTGCAAGCGATAGAATTTAATTAGTTAGGCTGGTGGGGGTGGCTGGCAGAAGAGGGGGGATTCTCGGGGTGGAACTCACGGTTCATGTCGAGGACGACGCTGCTGATAATTGGCGTTGTCAAATTATTGTTCTCCGCCCGGCACGTTAGCTGCATGTGGAGATTGCGGCGCTCCAGTCGCTGCAGGGACAGCACATTGCCCACCCGCCGCTCCGACAGGGCTTGGCCCACACTGGCGTCCTTGTAGACGGTGTTCCCATGCAGCCAGGTGACCCTCGGCTGCGGACGACCTGCAAGCGGAGTGCCCAGAAAGAAAAAGAATTATCGCAATTGCTGTAGCAAAATGGGGGGATGAGCACTGTGTGTACTAAGTGTGTGTGTGTGGTGTGTGCAACTGATATGTTTGCCGTAAGGCTTAGACTTGGAGTTGTCTCTGCGTTTAGCTGGCAGCATTTTAGCCGGTCTTCTGTTTGTTTATGTGCTCACAAGTGCAAGGAGTGGATGAGTGTCTTTCTGAGGGTATACGTATACTATATATTGGGGTGTATATTGGCATGGCAGCGGTGGGTGTGGGGCTGCGGTGTGTGTGTACAAGTGCCTTTCGCTGTTTCATTTGTTGTCTTGTTTGGCTTTTAGCAATTTTCAAGTGCTCTCAATGCAATTTGTGTGGGCATTGTGTGTGCGCCCAAGCTCCTCGATTGTGTCTGCACGTTGGTCTGGTCTTCCCTGCTCTGGTTTGGTTTGGTTTGGTTTCGTTTCGTTAGCAGCTAGAGCTCCATTTCGAGTCCGTGTTCATGCAGTCGACAGCCGGGTGGAAATTAAATAAAATGTGAAAATCTTTCGCCTGCATTTTCACGCTCATCACTTTTAATTGTCAGACACAAGCGGCAGCGTCAACACTTTTGCCCACACAACAGTGGGCTGAATAAGGACTTACCGCCGATGGCCACGCACGTGATGTTGATGCCGGAGCCCTCGTTGTAGGGACCCAGGGTGTGATCCTCGATGGTGACTCCCTTGCTGTCCAATATAATCACTGATTCGGGCGGAACTGCAAACAGAAACGTATTGAATTGTGATGATAAAGACCGCCAATTCACATTTTGATTCCGAAAGTCTCGTTGGGCTGTCAACTTAGTACTTGACCAGCGAGTTCCTTAAAAGCCTGGCTGACAGGGCTTTAAAGAGCTTGTTAAGCTGTTGCCAATTGGGAAGTTCAAAAAAAAAAAAGGGAGGGAGAAAAGAAATGCTCGAACAGGTGCAGTCAAAGTTTAGCGAAGAGTTTCTAGTGAATTTTCATTTTCTACCCTGCTTTTCCGCCTCTCATTGTTTTGACTGCTCTACACTGGTCTCTTTAACGGGCTCTCTCTCCTTATTATTTTCGGTTATGTGGGTGGCCACTTGGCCAACTATTTTGAGCCGGACCCCAACCCGATTATCATCGCTTTGCTGGCAAATTTGCTTGGTCTGATCAAGTCCTTGGAATTTTCGGCCCCTTCCGCGTAGGAAACTGTCCAAACTGTCCACCCCCCGGACTGGGGCAACTTTTAATCTAATATCTTCTTTAAAGTTTAACCCTCCGTTCTTTTTCCTTTTTAGATTTTGCCAACCGACGAACAAAGTTCTAAATCCTGCCTTGGTTTTACGCTTCACATGTCACAGACAAACACACGCACACACAGCAGCATGTTGAACATGCTCAAGAAGTTTGTAAAACACGGCCACGCCCCTTGCCGCCCGCCCTCTGTGCTCCATGCGCCAGCAGCGACGTCGGCAGCAACTATTTACCAACAATATTCGGCCAGGCCAACTCTGCCGGCCATATATTTCAGCCAAACGCCTTTGGAAACGCATATAAATTTTAATGGTAAATTGCAAACTGTGGCCGCCTCAATGCGCAGGTATCCTCCTCATTCCCCATGAAAAGGGGCAGAAAAACAAGCGCCAAATTGCAGCTGGAAATGGGGAAAAGCGGAAGATGGAATACGCTTCTACTCCTGGATAATCCCGTTCTAGTCTGGATGTTTTTCAAGAAAGCAGAACGGTTCCGTTTGCATAATTTTTTCCTATTACTATCAGAAAAAGAATAAAAATGTTAGCTTGCTCCTGGGATGTACTAACACGTTGCAATAAAATTCTCATTTAATGGAATTATAAAGCCTTTATACCTTTAGCTTGTTACCAAATAAACAAATTGGAATTTAAAATTTCAATAAACTCCTTTGTTGAAATTTGTTTTACGTTAATATATATATACATATTACCAAATACTTCTTATGCCTAAAATATTATATTTAAGCCTTTCCCCAAAACATAAACCTAATAAATAATTAAATGTGTTTTAAGATTTAATTATACTAAACATCCTATGTCTTGAGTAGTTTTTCACATTCAAGAATGTTAATTATTTGTTATACTAAAAAGGTCTTAAAGGATTTAATTATTTTTTTTAGAAAAAAATTGTATTAAGCAGACTGCTCCTTTCGCGTAAATTCAGCATTTCCGTCGCATACTCTTGCCCAATTCCAAGCTGAAATCCATTTAAATGGCAAGGAATTCAATTCAGAGCTTGCTCCCTGCACTCATCTCTTCCCCTTGCCTCACTTTTCCCATTTCTCCTCGAGCAGCTTTAACCAGCCACGTTTAAACTTCTCGCCAAGTTGGCACTTTAAAATCTGTTTGCCAAGTACCGAGCTGCTGAAGGGAGGCAGTGGCTAAAAATAAGGGAAAAGTTGGCAACCCGAACATATAGTTGGCGTCTTATTCTGTAACTAATGTGTTTGTCCAAGAGCTGAGTGCCGTGGTTGGCCAGGCCAGGCCAGAGCAGAATGGAGATGGAGATGGAGTCAGGACCAAGACCAAGATACGGCCAGGATATGTCGCTGCACAAATTAGCTGCTCAATTATGCTGCTCCGCACGCTGTGGGCAAACAGCAAAGGAGAGCGGCGAGTGGAGCAATACTTACTTATGACAGTTAAATTCACTTTGGAGTTGCGCGTCGGACTCTTCTGGAAGTCGACGCGGCAGCGATACTCGCCCGTGTCGTCCTCCGTGGTTGACTTGATGGTCAGCGTGCCGGCACGTCCTTCCACGTGGAAGGAGAGTCGCTCCCGATAGGTCTCATCCGACCAGTGCGTGCCCTGGGCGAAGTTGGAGTCGCGTGTGTCCACACTGAAATGGGGAAAACAAACGAAAAGTCAAGACGTGCACTGGGAAAATATAGCAAGTTCTTCAAAAGAATACAACTAATAATTTATAGAAGGGGCTAAAAGTATGCAATTTATTTTTTATTCAGAAGTCTGATTCGAAACACAACTTTTCTACCAGTTGTTGCCTACTCTTAGGCAACTTTATTTAAATTGCATTGTTTTACACTTACAGCCTTATTAATAATTAAAGCTGTGAATGTCAAGGCAAGTATTCTACTATTAGCCCTTTAAAGTTAATTTTTAAGAGAATTGCTGAGCCAAATCGCCTCTTTCCGTTTTTCTCTCAGTGCCTTAATGAGAAGGATATTAAATGAATTTCTGTGTATCAACCCGAGCCAAAGGAAAACAAAAGTAGCCCTACTCCCATTACTTTCTCACGCCATGTTGAAAGTTTTTTATTATCGCCAACAGCGTAATTGGGTTCAGCAATGAATTAATAATACACACCCGGCCACGCCCACTTTGCTGTAATTTATTGTTTTCGCTCGAAAATGTCGATTATTGATTATTCCATTCTGACGATACGGGGCGTAACGAGCTCATTTTGCTGGTCAATCAATGGTCTTAAAGTGTCTGTTCTGCCTCTCCAACTCGGCGCATTTGGCCGAGTTGGTTTTAAAAAGTTTCGAGCCAGTTTGCCCGCGAAGAGCGGAGAAGGTGGTGCCTGATTTAGGTCAACATTTAGCAGAGTGGCGAAGTTAATTGAGTTTAAAGCTCTCCTCTCGGCATTCTCAGCCCGAGTTCTGCCAACACATAGTTAATTATGCACGCTGTGGTGTAATATTCTATTCCAGCATGCCTTTAAGTAGGCGAAAGCGTTTTTAATTGCGATCCTCAGTAATCTTCGCCCAAGGCGACCAAGTTCGAAGCCTGATTTGAGTGCTTTTGCCCACTGATGGTGCTATAGTACAACTTATGAATTAATCATTCACGGACCGAAGGCCCAAGGGCTTTCGAGTTGCCAACTCAATTGGCATTTAAATTGCAGCTCAGCAAATGGAACCCAAATTAGATCGTTTGTTTGTGCTGCAAAGTACATGTTTTACCGTCCCGAAATATGCCATAAATTCGCATTGCGCTTGAGTTGATCCTTACTGCAGCTCCATATGTCTTCTTCGACAGCTCCTCGAATTGCCAGCCTGTGTTTTATTGCATTTCAATTTTGATTTGCTCCCAGCATATGCTTCACTGCTGGGATAGTAGGGTTCTGCTGATGCTAAAGCATCACACATGTCAGCTGGGCAATAAAAACCCAATGGATGCCGGAATTGAGCTGTCGGTTCGTTGCTGGGGCGGTAAATTAAATTTTCAACGGTGGGCGTGGCTGGTGCTGCGCTGGCCAGCGGTTTCTTTTTATGATTAATTCACTTGCTGAGTGGTTCTTAATTACAAACAAGAGTTGAGCCCAGCCCGATGAAGCCCTTTTCCTCGAACGGTCGTTATGCAACGCTAATTACTACTTTCGTCCGAGTCATTTGCAAGTCCTTGAAGTGCCCGAAGTTCAATTAGTTTTGGCCGCATGTCAATGGCCGGCTAGCTGGTTGCCTGGCAATCAGCTAATCACCAGGCCAAGCTCACTGGCTCACAGGCTCACTGGCTCAGTGGCACACTCACATGCCGACCAGTCGGACAAATCCAATTAAAGTTTCACGCCTTTGATGTGTAGTAGTCGTGTATCTGCGAGGTACAAGATACAAGATACAAGATACTAGAAGCTAGAAGCCAAGCAGCAACCACTGCGACATAATGTTCGACATGAATAATTGAAAAAGTTTTGCTGCCGAATGTAACCTTGGAGCATGGAGCTGGGGAGCTGGGTAGCTGGGTAGCTGGGGATTGTCGAGAAAGTTTGCTCTTGATTTTCGGTAGCTACTCCCAACTGAGCCTCTCTGTGTGTATAATTCTCTAGTTATGCTAATTTCAAGTCTGCAGGCTGACGGACCCCCACCTAAAAAATTACCTAATTAGCCGCCATTAAATCAGAATGAAAATTCTCCGCAAATACGGCAAACTGACATGTGCAGGTCTCCACTTTTCCGCTTTTCCGACATTCCGCCAGCCACGCCCCCTTGTGCGATCCGATTTCCCGCCTCATCTGTCGGCCGTGTTTGTTTGCATTTGCGTTTGCGTTGGCTGAGTGGTGAGCAGGTTGAGTGCGTCAAAAGTTGTCTGCGGTAATCAATTTTGTTTATTTATGGAGCCGTGCGTGCCAGCGTGTCTGTCTGAGTGTGTGTGGCTGAAATGTTTGCGGTCAGGTGGGGCTGCGGCCTGTGGCTCTGCATTTGACACGGGGACTTTAAGGACTTAAGAGGGGCTCTAAAAAATGTGTCACTCAAACTTCGAACTGCAGCGAAGTTCGCCTTTGGCCAACCCAGCCATGTAAAAACCATCGCCACTCACCTGTAAATGGGCGTCTTCAGGCCAACCTTGTACCAGATGACCAGGGCCACCCGATCCTCGTAGATGGGCGGGGTGACGTTGCAGGGCAGTCGGCCGATCGTTCCCATTATGGACTCGGATAGCACGGGCGGACCTGGAAAAAAAAACGTGAGTGATTAGTCTGTGACACAGGCAAAAGTGTACATGTCAAAAATATGACATCGTTGTCCGATTTTAATCTAAATAAAAATTAAGCTTACATTTTAGTTAAAAATAAAAAAGTATATTTTAAATAGTAACTTACTTATAAGTACTTATATAAAAGTATCTTGAGAAAGTTGGATTCATAAAGCTTTGAAACTAAAGGGACTTGTTTGCGTAGAAACGAAAAGCGAACATGGCTAGACCGATGCTCCTAGTGATGCTGATCAAGTATATATAGACTATCCTCTACAAGGGCATACAAATAATTCAGTTAAATCATAGATCTCTGAAATGTTAAGCTTGAACCCGGATTAAAAAAGTTAAATTTAGCAAAAGATTTCCTTGTGTATGCCAGGCGGAAGAGGAAAGAAGCAGCAGGAGCTGCAGGAAAGTGGCTGCAAAAAAACTGGCTAACAAATGATGTATAATTAGGCGAGGGCATTAGCACTTTGTTATTGGGCCAGACCCCCCAAAAAGCCGAGTTGCGGGGAGCTTGCTGCGATCTTTCGCTTGGCCCAACTAATAATGCTATAAATAAAAGCGAAGAGACTGGCCCAAAAGATGGGGGGCGGGGTGAAAGGGGGCTGGAGAAAGGCGGAGAGATAAAAGTGACGTAATGGGCGCGACGTCTTCATCGCTGTCCTGCGCCTTTTTCTTTCGTCCTCTCACATTAAAGTGAAATTAGCGAGCAAATCCTTTTTTTATGCTAATTTCACCCGGCTTTCAAGACGGGATTGTTCCTCCTCATTTTAAACCCCCCTTTTGCTGTCTTTTTTTTCCTGTGTTACATTTGCAGCCATTTTTTGAGTTATGTCCTTTGGCTTGGCTTATTTTCCGAGTCCTTGCTCTTAACAATTTCCTTTTTGCTCGGCATTTATTTGTGTTATTTTTGGCCTGCACTTAAGATTCGTTTGCCTTTTCATTATTCGCAGTTGCTTTGTTCCCTCATATTTCGCCGCCTTTGTTTAAAGCGCCGAACGAGAAAGCGGCAGAGAGATTACTGTTTGAAGTTGACATTAATTTCAGGACTCAAGCTTATTTGAGATCCGGCCTGCGAAACAACTGGACTCCTCTTTTTACGAATTTTGGTCTGATTTTAATTTAAATTTCATAAGATTGGGCCCGGAGCTTGTCTAATTTCTACGCTCAAAATTTCCAGAGAATTTTCTTGCGCAAAAGTTTGTTAGCCCTTTTTTTTGTCTGCCCACGAGTTTGGCCAAACGCTGTCCCTCGTCACGGAATTCCGCCGTTGTTTGTATCTCATTTAAATTCACTTGTTAACTCATTTGCATTTCGTAGGCTCAGCATTTTTGGCATGGCCCAAATAAAGTTATTACACTTTTTGGTTCCGAAAATCCCCCATGCACTGGCCGGCCGCAAGAGATGATTTAATTGTGGAAATAAACCCGACTCACAGCTCAGTCAACTGCAGGCGGCGCTCATTGCTCATTGCTCATAGCTCATTGCTCATACGCAGTGTGGCCGCTGTGGAATTAGTTGCTAATCAGCTGGGGAAAAAAATCTAAACCGAGCTGCGCCAGTCATGACGCAGTCGGTAGCGATAATGCAATGCATAATTTATAATGATTATAAATGGTTTTTGCTGCCCGACATTCGACTTTCGATTCTGCATAACAAAGTCAGAGGGGAGGCGAGGTCGCCCGGAGAGTCGTTTAAAATGTGATGTTGTCTAAGCCGGAAATCGCCGGGCTCCCCAGCTTTTTCCGCCCGGATTCGACATGGCCCGGGCCTGGCTGCCGCCATGTTTCGATTTTTCGCTCATTTCATATGCAAATATGTTCGATTTGCCATTACAGCGCAGAGCAAACCAGTGCCGAAGAACGAGGGCAACCGCAATAATAACAATGCCAATGATGGCAACGATGATGACGTCGCACACACACACACACACACACACTCTGAACCCATGTGGCTGGCTGGCGAGAGCAGCTCCCAGAATTTACATTTTCCTTGTGCCGGAGTTAAACGAAATGCCAACATTGGCAAAACATTTAATTATAGCAATTAGCTAATTAGAGATTTTCGCTGGAACGAAACGCAGTTTTCTCCCCCTCTCCCCTCTCCCCTCTCCGTCGAACCAACACAAAAATCAATCGTAGAACACCCAATGGCTGTGCGTTGTTCTGGGCCGAAATTCGGCATTTTGGCCACGTTTGTCCACTTGTGCTGATTTGTTTTCGATCTGCGCGCTTGAATAATGCAAAGTGTTCGAATGAATTGCAGCCTCGTTGCAGAAAGTTGCTCTCCACTTTGATTTCGTTTGGTGAAACATTTCTCTCGCATCTCCCGAAACTATAAAAATGCCATCAACATTAATTGCCACAACACGGCGACCATTAAATTGGTTTGGCTAAACAATTTTTAGTGGCCTGCCAGTATTCAGCAGTCGGGCGAGGAAAAAAAACTTACTCATTAGCCGCTCCACGCACACGCCAGAGAACGCATTAAATTCGTGTCTGTGCGTGTGTCTGCACTCTGTGGCAAATTAATTGCACATAAAATTATAACTGAACGCACTTGAAGCTGACAAGCGACAAGGTGACTTTCCCCCCGATTTCCGCCCAATTTGATGGTGTTCCCAGATGCCAGATGCCACATGCCATTTGCCAGGAGGAAAGTCATAAAAACCCCACGGAAGCTGAGTGCGTGTGTGAGTGCTGTGCAGCTTCCATTAATTAAAAGCAATGTGTTGATTTCTTATTCCTTGTCGGTTTCCTTGTTGCCTCCTTGCTCCTTGGTCCTTGACAATTGGCATTTTGTTTTGACTCTAAGCGCATTTATTGCCAATTATTTTTATGGCCCAGAGGCAAACAGGCGTAAGGTGTGTAAATAAATGTACTTAAACATCGATCGATGTGTGTGGCTTGTACTTTGATACTTGATGTTAAAGCAAGAATTTTGTTTAAGTGCATGGAAAACAAACTATAACATTTTTAAGCCAACAACTACTATAATTGCTTTGACCATAATTCACTAAAAAATGCTTTAATTTTAAGCCAATGAAAAATAAATGGAATTAATCAAATAAATTGAATTATAAAGATGGTTTGTTTTTTTTACTTCCACGACTTTTCGAATTCAAAAGCACTGTGAATAGAATAAAATGTTTGTTTTTTTTTGCGAAAGTTGACACTCCAAACCTCAAAAAGAAAAAAACATTTAATGTGCCGTAATAAATAAAAGCAGCTTAATTAATTTTCCTATTAAATGCCATTAAATTCCATTAACGTAATAAGCATTGGCAAAGCATTTCAACCACAAGAGGAATAATCACACGTTTTTCAACATTAAAGAGCGAGTATTGCAAAGAGCAGAGGAAATATCAAATCAGAATATTCAAATGCCAAACTAAAGGAATTTCAACTTAAATATGACGGCAGCCAGCTAGCAAAGGAATCTGGCAAAAATTATTATGCAAATTTGCTTTCATATTAGTGGCATTTGCTCCGCTCGACTCCTCTAACAACGGAAGAGAAGACGGCAGAAAAAAATGGAACCCAGTTGACAACGGCAACATTTGCTGATTTGGCAAAAATATGCGCAGAACGTGGCTGTTGGGGGCGGACACGAAAATGGGGGAGGGGCAGCGCAGTGACATTGCCGGATACTCCTGCCAAGAAATTGGCAGCCAAATTTAAATAAAACTCTTGTCAATATTTGCCAGAGACCGAAGAGAACGAGTGCGAGTGCGAGTGCGAGTGCTAGCGACTCAATATGAGTAACAAAAATGTTGTTTCAAATAAGTGCAAACATTTGCATAATTTGCTAAAATCATGAGGCTATCAAATAAAATAAGCGTGACAGCTCTAACCCCGTTTTATTCGATTTGGGGTTTGGTTAGCTCGCAATGGGTTCAGTTACTGGCAAATTTGGCTAACTGCAAATCATTGTGAGGCTGAAGCCCCCATTGCGAAGGCACGTTAATTGCACCGTTTGGGGCAGTACTTAAAAATTAAATAAAAATCAAATAAAAATTTCAAATACAATTGAAGCGAATCGGAGAAGTGCTCAAGATGGAAGCAAATTTCAGTCACAATTAAATTAAATTCCCCAGTCGACAGGAGGTACGGCAACTATTCATGTGTAAATTTCAACAAAAGGCCCTGAGGGTGACAATTACGAGTCGGTCAAGTCTGTGTAGCTCGGCTCCTTCAGCTCGGCCTTCCTTCCCACTTTCTTTCGGCCATGTTCCCTGTTCCGTTTTATGGCCATTTGCTTTATGTAATGCCAAGTGTTTGGCCCAGAGACGGTTTCATAAAAGCAAAAGGGCGACAGAGGCAGCAGCGCAGTTTTAATGTGCAATAAACTGTAACGATAATGATTATGCGTTCTAGGTGGGGCCAAGACGCAAGAGGCGGGAAAGAGAGGGCACGAGACCATCAGAGGGAGAGGGGAATAGGCCTCGGCTGTTGCAGCAGTCAATTCTCGACATAAGTTGACTTTAATGTGCGCCAAAGTGGCAATTATTGAAAGTGCTCGCTCGGCCAGTCCGAGAAGTGTAACAAGCAATCGTTTTGTTTCGGTCTCCATGATTTCGGCAAATGAATTTTATATTAAATTTAATTTTAATCCCATTAACACGAGTGGTAAGCAATGGGACTACGGAAATAGGTGGCAAGCGAAAGCCAAATGAGACAATAATAATTCAGATTCAATATACCACTGAAATAGTTGTTAATATTGCATACCTAACCAACATCCTTAAAACATTTCAATAAGTTGACCAAATAAACTTGTTATATTTAACATAGGTTTCTCTATATAAGCAACAAGTTTTAGTATATCAATAAAACAGAGCACATGGTGGAATTGATGGTATGTTACCACAATGAACATGAATCCATAAAACTACCGCTTCAACTTTAAGAGAGTTCGCTTCTTTTAACATGCGAACTGGGCATATTCTTACATAACCCATCAATGGACTGG